GGTGTTGCTGCTTCACTCAATAGTCTGTCCACCACTCTGAAGTTGTTCACAACTCACGATGATCCTAGGTCAATTACGAATTGTTCAGGCATGTGTGAGTGCCTTCATACGGCCACTATTTGCGATACGTTGACCTCGAGTTAGATGCTTGGACCGATCTTGTCAAACATACTTCCCATCCCTGGTTATTCGTTTCTCGCCGGCAGGTGACCTCTGCATTTGAAGGATAGTATACGCTCACTTGGTATAGGTGGATTATATGATACACAAGAATTTTGCAATGGTGCTGGAGCTCAGGCGTGCGTCCTCAGTTGAATTGCAATGATTTGTAGATCTGCTTCCATGACTTAGCTGACTTATTCATCAGAGTGATAACTAACCAAGTCTAGCTTATGACTCTGTCCTGCATACGTACGTATCTCTTCTTCAACTTATGGGTTTCGCTCATGTTTGATAGCGCTTGTTATTCCTGCGGCCTATACAAGTACCACAGATGTTGGAATGCAGAATTATTGCTCCCGATGGAAGTCCCACTGCGGCGCAGCGGGTCTACTCTTCATCTCTAGAGGAACTGTCATATTGCTCCTAGGACTTCACTTCTCTGAGATGCTCTCTTTCATTTTCTTTCGACGGTGGGGAGTCGAAGTAGCTAATAATAAACCGGTTTCTGCATCACCCATTTCTTTATGCGCCGCTGCACAGTAAATTACACGATCATACATAGAATCATCATATTCATAATATCACGCAAGTGTGAAGGGTCACTTTTCTAAGATGCTAAGTCCGTCTCCTTGTCCGGTCATATAGTGTTCATTACAAAAGGAGGTACACGAAGCCATGCTCCACAAGTAGACCGCATAGACTGTTTAGTGCGGTCTGTGTGCAGCGGTACTTTCGCCAGCTTTTGTGACTTTACACTCGACCTTTCCGATCACAGCGCGTGTGATAGCTGGGTGGTAAGTAGATACGAATGAGATGCCGGCAGAGGTAGTTTAGAGTGTCACATGCTTGTACACGGCGCGGTTCCCGTTTAAACCGGCGAAGTCAGTTGATCACATTGTATGAAGCGGACTTATAGGATACTAATGTTAATGTTTTGGTTTGAAATTGGCTGGGAAAATGTGGGTGCCTGTAGAACTGTGGCTGAACAAAAAAGTGACGCCGTGATAATGTGGGCTGCACTCAAGCGCCTACTGCATGATATGAGTATCAAGTGGGCAGAAACCTAACTCTTCTCACAACACATAGGATTTACAACACAAGGTACGCTCCTCATAAACCTGAAATATTACTGACTGTCTGTCTCCCTGTCTAGGCCATTGCGACATGTCAAGACTACTTGATGTAACAAACAAGAAAAAGTATACCAGTGTGAGAAGACATGCAGCGCCGGCGCCAATGCAAACGATGCGATTGCACACGGACAAAGTGTCGGTAGTCGCATTTTTCAAAGACGGCCGACGGGTTGTCACTGGTTCTTGGGACTGCACCCTGCGAATTTGTAACATACAGAAAGGAGCAGTGGTAGGGGGGCCATTCGTGGGACACAGTAACAAGGTGTTTTCAGTTGCGGTATCGCCAGACGACAGGCGAATTGCGAGCGGTGGAAAAGGACGTCGAGAGCAAGAAGATGGTATTCGATCCGCTGGGGAAGCATACAAAATGTGTGTCTTCGGTGTGCTTCTCCCCCGATGGCAAAGCGGGTCGCATGATTCGACAGTGATGTAGAGACTGGCGCTGCCCTCTCAACACTCCAGGGTCATCTGGGCGAGGTGTCGAGTGTCGCATTCAACCCTGATGGTCTAAAATTAGCATCTGGGTCATTGCGTACCATCCGGATTTGGCGCACAGATAATGCCGAACTTGTTTTCAAGATCAACGCTCATGAAAATCCAGTTCTCAGTGTTGTGTGGTCGCCTGATGGCCAGCAACTTGTCTCTGCATCGTACGACAAAAAAGTCAAGTTCTGGGACTCCTCGAATGGATTCCAGATCGGTCAACCTTGTACTAGTCACACTTCTGACATTAACTCGCTGGCCATATCATTCGATGGCTCCTTCATTGCAACTGCCTCGGACGACAGGACTGCGAAACATTGGAGCACAAAGTCACACAAGCGGATAGGACAACAACTCAAACACATCGTGGATGTCACATGCATCGCTATTTCTCCCAACGCAGAATTGGTCGTGGTCGGAGACCTCAATGGCGAGGTTCAACCCTGGTCAATCAAGAACACACTTTCGACAGCAGTTCAGTTATATTCCTCATCTGAATCTTACTTTGCACACCGCAGTAAGGTAAAGTTGGGACAAAACCTCCATCCTGAGGCCCTTTCGGACGCCGAAAAGGTGCAGACAATATCTGTCATTGTTTTAGCAATTGTGACGAACTGTTGATTCATAGGTTATCGAACTCAACACATCATCTTACCTTGGGTACAAACTGAAGCATGCAGCTCTTTATGGAGTACAGCGCTATGATGACGCAATCGAGGCCTTCAAAATCATGCTTTCCATGTTGGATGATGCACCCGACTCGCAGATACGACGTAAGCCCACAATACCTCAGGAGCCAGATTGAAGATGATTTACTCTTTTTCAGAGTTGCGCCAGCAATATGTCAGTCCATCTGAAGTAGAAAATGCTGTTCGACAAGCCATACATGCTCACCTGGAAAACGCCCCACTTCGTCTAATTAACACCATCACTGGGAACCTATGTGATCGACAGGCACAGATCAATACCTTCATGAAAAGCACAGTGTGCAAGGAGATCTTATCATCATCGATGTTGCATAGGCCCCTCCAAACGGAGCTCATCACAAAAATGGTCGCGAAGTACTTCAGTTGGGTCATGTTATCTCATAGGTGGGAAACCAAGGAGCCGCGGCTGCACGAAATTCAGGACAAGGATGTGTACACTTTGCGTCCAGTTGGAACAATAGCGAAACTGCAAAAGTTTTGCAAAATCACTCGCGATGCGGGACATTATTGGGCGTGGAGTGATACATGCTGCATCGACCAGAACAGTACCGTCGAGCTCCAAGAATCAGTCAACTCCATGTTCGTCAGGTATCGCCACTCAGCACTCACCATTGTCTATCTATGGGATGTTTCCCCTTCGTCAAAGTCTGGCGCACTGACAAACAGTGTTTGGATCACGCGAGGATGGACTGTTCAGGAGTTCCTCGCTCCTACAATTGTTCTCTTTTACCAAGCAAACTGGACCCTATATCTCGACGACCGCTCACCCAACCACAAGGAGTCTACCAGTATCATGCAGGAGTTGGAGCGTTCAACGGGTATAAATGCAGGGGCGCTCGTCGCCTTCAGTCCGGGAATGAAAAACGCCCGAGAGAAACTTCAATGGGCATCATGCCGTGTTACGACATTGCAGGAAGACATTGCATACTCATTATTTGGCATTTTCGGCATCCATCTACCTGTTATCTATGGAGAGAGGAAACAGAACGCGCTCGGACGTCTCTTACAGGAGATCATCGCTTACTCGGGTGACACCACAGCCCTGGACTGGGTTGGACAGTCATCCAGCTTCAATAGCTGTTTGCCAGCCGACATTGCCTCATACAGAGGCCCGCCGTGCACACTTCCATCTCCATCCGAAGACGAGATTTAGTCATTGGTCTCCTCGCTGCGAAATAATGTGGCTCAGGAGTCCGTTTTGAAACTCTACACCATCCTTGAAGACCTCAATGCTCCTCGCTTCGCCAACTGCAGACTGCAACTGCCTTGCATCACATTTCCAATCACAAAAGTCAAACAAAAGATCAATACACCTTACACTTATCATATAAAGGCGGACGGTCTCCAAGACCTGGAAATCACAACGGCGGACACGCTGGTTCAATTCTGGCCTGGAAGGCCCACCTCGCAGAAATTCTTGCTCATCCGTCCATGGAATCGTCATGATCTCGGGCTGCCTGACTTTGCAGACGAGATACAGAGCACGGATAGGCTTGAGTCTGAGCCTCCATCAGATGATCTGCTCGGCTTATCTAGTTCAGACAATGAGCCGGCTGGTTTGCAGTCTTCTGCGCGACAGTCGAGCTTGCTCGTTCGCCTCAGACAGCGTTTGGGCGCACTTTTGCTATGGCAGCGCGAACTGGCTGATTCGCGGTCTCTCACGCGAGAGTTGGCGTTGGTTGTTCGCCTTGGACAGCCTTTTAGCGCACTTTTACTAGCGCAGCAGCGAGGTGGGGAGTATCAAAGAATCGCTGTTGCAATATCATCGCACAAGTTAGGGACATGACTCGTGTTGATGATATGATGAATGTCAGGACGTTAGAGATATTGTAGTTGTATTCTTGTCGAACAATGGGGATCTCTTACTCATTTTCGTTCATATTTTGACAGCCCCTGCATGAAACATATTATAACAGGCAAGTAAATTACCTAAATGTATAATTGGATCGTCATTGAGAGCAACTAGGCTAGACAGTCTTGTGAATTTTTGCATCCTTAGCCTACTAGAAGCCCTTATGAACTGCGCTTGTATACGACTGAGAGATGTAGAAATAGGCTCGTCGCTTTCCTCCCAGGGATGAGAGGCGGCGGAGAGAAACTCCAGTAGGCATTGACGGGCAAGCGTGATAGGGAAACAGGTCCGAAACCTGCTCAATTATTTTTTTCCTTTTATTACGCCTTGAACATTCAGTTCTTCGAAGGTTCATCTCAACTCGCGAAGTATACTGGCTAAAGTGATCACCACAACAGAATCAAAATCTGTTTCTCTTGGAGACTGCGCAGCTTCGAAATCTGCCGACGGCAAGTTTTTTCTCTCTCTCGGAACAGACCTCGACATTCACTCATGGATGGTTTCGTCGGGGTTACATCTAACTGGTCACCATAACAGAATCGAAATCTGTTTCTCTTGGACTGTGCATGCAGGTTCGAAACTTGCCGATCGACAGGTTTTTTTCTATTGGAACACACCTTGAAGATTCGCTCACGGATGCTTTCCTCGGGGGTACATCTCAACATCGTCCTGGCAAAGATGGTTACCACGACAGAATCCAAATCTGTCTCGGGGATTGCTCCGTGCAGGTTCGAAACCTGCCGATGACAAGATTTTTTGTGCTATCGGATCATGCATTCACTCATGAGTCATGTATAGTTTCCTTGGAGGTCCATCTTAACTGGTCTTTAAGCCAGGTGATTTCCGCGACAGAATCAAAATCTGTGCTGATGACAAGGTTTTTTTTCCCTGTCGCAACATACTTTGACATTCACTCATGGATGGTTTCATCAGACAGCCATCTTAACTGGTCTTAGCCAAGTGGTTACTGCAACAGAATCAAAATCTGTTTCTCCTCCACCGCGCAGGATCGAAACCTGCCGAGTCACAAGTCTTTTTCTATCGAACACACCTTGACATTAACTCATGAATGCTTTTGTCGGATAGCCATCTTAACTGGTCTTAGCCAATGGGTTGCCACGACAGAGCCAAAATCTGTTCCTCTTGGAGTTGGTTCGAAACCTGCTGACGATATTTTTGCGGTGTATAGCTAGATCATCAGGTCCATCTTGACTCGTGATTTTTTTTCTACAATACTCGATCTTAAAGTAGTTGCTTAGCTACTTCACTGAGTATGTTCTACATACTATACCAGCATATCCCAAGTGAAACAAAATAAAACCGTTGAAAAATGGTGGAGATCGTGTTTTCAGCATCAGATTCAAAATCACCTGCCGTGGTTGCCGATGTCGGACATCAAATTTGACACATTTGCAGAGTGGTACCGGCGAGTGTTCAGCGCTCAGCTGGGCTCTGAGGCAGGGCGTCACTGAGGCAAGCTTGTAGCGTCTACCGACCCCAACTATGAGTCCAGGATCCAGGCTGCACTCATGGATGTCACAAATAGCACCTGCAAGAATATTACAGTAACTGCAAGGGTTAGGGTACACAAGGTATGATTATCGAGTTCTTGTAACGCTAATTCCATCGTGCAGATCGCGTGGCAGACTCTACATCAAAACGAAGGTATTCTACAGCTTGCTATCATCATACAAGCGCAGGGACGACCTCATCACCATCACAGGCGCTCTTTCACCTCCCAGAGATGGGACATGGATGAATTAAAGAACATCTTGCAGGACTCGAATCCTGACTGCCAGTCAAGGCAAGGTTCGCGGTACTTCTTGGGGGCAAACGAACAAGTGCCGCCACAGCATTGGCAGCCTTGTCTTCGAGCTGACCGCCCAGAATTTCCTGTAACCTCCAGTTCCTCCCAGCCTGGGCACGTGCTACCACCACATTTCATACATCTGTCATCTCACACCGGTTCAACTCACAAATGCATTGTAAGCGCAACATGTACAATGTGTTTATGAGTTGCTCCTCCTGAGTCTTGCTGTAGATGATATCGGAGACAAGGCAGTACATATCCGGCGTTCCCACCGACAGCCTCGATGGTGAATGTCCCTCTAAAGTACCGCGATGGTTAATTCATGCTTGCCAGAATTCGCGTTACAGTGAGTATGGGTAGGTTGCACCCTTTAACCACCCGGCTCACCGGTGTCGTAGAATGTGCAGCGAGTTGAGTGGCATGTCGCAACAGTGATAGTACACGACATTAGTACTTGCGGGCCAAGTCGTGTATACATGATTTAAATATGATTCAATGAGTATGTAGATATGTATGCACGCATCGCACAAAAGTTGAATCAGACAGGCCTTTGTTGATGTGGAGTCGCGCGCTACTCTACTTCTTAATCTACAAAGGTTGCTTCGTCGCAAAATTTAGCATTGTTCGACAAAGCAACTTTTAGATTGAAAAGAAGGGGCTTGCCTTTATGCACACTTGGTCATCAACTGTACAGTTCTTCTCCTTTCTTCCCGTCCACGTACTAAGCTTGGTCTGTACTGTTTCGAGGGATGGCAAGATTTTGCTTAGAACACCACCTCAGCACTGCGTATGCCAGCAGTCACACTGGCCCAGGACACGACCCCAAGCATGCAGCTAACGTTCCCTAGCAGTTCGCAAGCGGAGTTGGTTCAATTGCCTGTAAGATATGCCACACACCCTGTTCATTCGTGATCTGACATACCAATTCATACTAGGCAACGCAGACTCTTAGTACATCATGCTCAACGGATCTCCCGCCCAGTGTCGGATCCCGAGAGGTTCAAACTATCCCCAAACCGCAGCCTAAGCGCCGACTCAAGCCTGAGGGATCTTCACTGTCTGAGCACATAAAAAACCGCGACTTCCAATGGTTTCAGGCGCAACAGCCAGCAGCTGCTCGTGATTCAAAGATCGCAAGTCCTGTGGTGGATCCAGCTGCTCAACCTGGTACGCTTGTATTATCGAATAATGTAGTTGGGGCCCCTGCTGCAGTGAACCCAAAGCCGTCTCGCATGCCAGGGAGGATATATTCAGGACCGCCACCCAGTGAACTGATGACAGCGAACCAGCCTACAGCTGCGGAAATCATTCATCGGTCGAGTACTTTTACCCAGGCTCCAGCTCCTGTAGAAGTCAAGCAGCCAGACAAAGAAAAAATCACGCCTGCTGTAACTGATATTGCTACGCGCGACCCACCACCGGAAAATATACCTCGAGATTCAGAAATGGATCCTTCGGGTCCGTCAGAATATACCACTCCCGATGTCAATACGTCCTCGCTAAAACAAAACACGGTGTGTCCAGTTACCACTCCGCAGGCCAATTCCCCGAGATTTGGAGGGGAAATGGTTGTGATGATATATCGAAGAGGACTTAGATCAGCTCGCAAGACCATTAACATCACTTTCAATCTCGATGATTTACATTACTCCTACATTGCTCGGTGGGCGAAGTCGAAGCGTACTAAGTCCTCACTAACGTCGTATGTGACAATTTTATCTTGTCCGTACGCAAATTTAGCGGTTCACAGAGATTTGGAACAAAGTGTCTGTGTGTCGTTCGCTTGCTATCACCTCCCTAGTCTCCCATCCAATCCACTAGAAGGTGATGGACTTGCGCCATGCTTTGAGACACTGATGCATTCGCCATGCTCGTGGCCCACATCTGGGGACCTTTCACTGCAGACGAAGCGGGACGAGAAGGATTTTGTCATTCCGCTAGCTCCGCCGATTTTCGTGAGTATCAGTATGCATACTAAATTACAATGAAGTTGAAAGGTTTAATTTGACAGGTCACTCCAGACAATTGCATCGATGTCTCTGCTTTCATCAGAAGTGGAGAAAACAAATTTTCAGTGGTCCAACAGAACGACATGTCAGATTATTTGTTTATGTTTCTCGTCCATTATCCTACGCCGGAGCAACTGGGCTATCTCGCTTCCTGCAGAGGTAGACGTGAGGAGTGGGTGAAAAGCATACGTGATCTTTGCAAGCTTGAGCCGAAGGAACCGTTATAGAGGCGATTGCCGTCAGAAGCTATATGACCTCCGAGTCGCTATGTGTATCAATTTACACATCATACCTAAATTGTGCTTGTATTTCACCCTTGAGCACGACTTCAATGAGTTTTGTTAGATAATGCTATGGAGTTGATGACGAGTTGATTTTGCCGGCTCCACCATGCCATGGCACTGTCTGACTCGCGATTTGAGGAGCAAAATGTATTTCATCACCGATTGACTATGTCTATTCAGTGCGTGCAATAATCTCGTACCACGAGACTCTTACTGACCCTACCGGAGACAAGGCAATACGAGATCGCCACGTCAAAATCTTGACCAAGTTGCGGTCGGACCGTAAAGTTACCGTGACATCGCCATGGAGTTCAGCCTGCAACATAAAAGCAGGCCGTCCTCCTACTTCCCCCTTTAGATTTATTTGCCGACACCGCTATTGATGTACTAATCAGACTGGGATATGGCGCTTTTTCTTTCCGTTGGCTGGCCGCGTAACGACTCACCTTGGAGCATTTTTAATATTGTTACCAGTGGCAGACCTACCATCCACTTCATGCAGCATGATGCTGCTTGCACTGATACACAAGTAACTGAAACGTGTCTGGCCCCGCCTTTCAGCAAGGCAAGAACCCTGAACCGAAGGCTTAGACCACTCAATACGTCACTGGATCAAAAAGACAAATTTAAAGACAGCGGGAAAACATCGTTACTATCAAACTAAGGAAAACCAATGCAAGGAGTTACATCAGTGTGGGTATCATTCCAGGCGACCTCTCAGCCAGCTCAAAAGGCCCCTCGTCCCTTCCCTTTCCCAAACCTTCCTCTGGGGTATACGAAACCTACCAAGCGCGTAAACATCATTATGCATACAATCAATGCACGCCGAACTACTCACAAGTTACCATCCACCAAGAAGACGTCCAAGGGCAAAAGACCAAGTTCTGCAGGAAGCTTGGAAATCTCATTGTCTCTGAGGTCTAGTTCCTCTAATTTCCAATCAGGCACCGAACGGTTACCTTTGAACAGATCTGCGATGCCCTGGAAAGCATCAAGTTCGTCGATTCGATTACCACGGAGTCTGAGATGCCTGAGACCTTTACGGGAATTGGAGTTGTCTGCCAGGATGAGGGAAGACAGGATGTCCTGCCGCAGCGAAGCTGACGTAAGAGCGTTATAAGATAAATCCAATGTCCGAAGACTCGGGAAAAAGCGCGTCAATAAAGGCAGGAGTGTATCGTTCGAGCGCAGAGGTGTGGTAGTCCCCGTCTCGGTTTGATGTGTCACAGAGACTTGATCACCGAATCCACACCCATCCAGAACGAGTTCCTCCAGGCTTGGAAGTAATACCTCGCCAGTGGTTGGGAGAGAAACGCAAAGATCGAATTTGCGGTTGCGTAACACGAGAATCCTAAGCGTTTGTGCAAACGACTGAGCTGATATGGCAACGAGGGGAAGTGTCGGTGTAGGCAGGGAAAAATCAGTTTTGCCTTGAGAGGACGGTGCACTCAAGAATGGAGTTGCTAAAGAGAAGGATCGAGCATGACACTTTGTCGGAGCTGAAAGCGGGGGCAAAGTAAGCGTTTGAGTGGTAGCATGGTAGTATTGGGGGTTCGTTAAACTTGTGCTCGATGATGGTTGCGAGGTGCTAGCAGGCGTAGGCGGGCGTCCGTGTCCAATAAGGGAACTAGGCTTCAAAGGTGTTG